GCTGCACCAATTTGCATTCCCACCAACAGTGCAAGAGGGTTCCCGTTTCTCCACATCCTCTCCAGCATCTATAGTCTCCTGATTTGTTCATTTTGGCCACTCTGACTGGCGTGAGGTGATACCTGAGTGTGGTTTTGATTTGTATTTCCCTGAACATCTTTTCATGTGCCTGTTGGCCATCCGGATGTCTTCTTTAGAGAAGTGTCTATTCATGTTTTCTGCCCATTTCTTCACTGGGTTATTTGCTTTTCGGGTGTGGAGTTTGGTGAGCTCTTTATAGATTTTGGATACTAGCCCTTTGTCCGATATGTCATTTGCAAATATCTTTTCCCATTCTGTTGGTTGCCTTTTAGTTTTGTTGGTTGTTTCCTTTGCTGTGCAGAAGCTTTTTATCTTCATAAGGTCCCAGTAATTCACTTTTGCTTTTAATTCCCTTGCCTTTGGGGATGTGTCGAGTAAGAGATTGCTACGGCTGAGGTCAGAGAGATCTTTTCCTGCTTTCTCCTCTACGGTTTTGATGGTTTCCTGTCTCACATTCAGGTCCTTTATCCATTTTGAGTTTATTTTTGTGAATGGTGTGAGAAAGTGGTCTAGTTTCAACCTTCTGCATGTTGCTGTCCAGTTCTCCCAGCACCATTTGTTAAAGAGACTGTCTTTTTTCCATTGGATGTTCTTTCCTGCTTTGTCAAAGATTAGTTGGCCATACGTTTGTGGGTCTAGTTCTGGGGTTTCTATTCTATTCCATTGGTCTATGTGTCTGTTTTTGTGCCAAAAGTGAATTTTTCTAACATCTGCTTATCACCCACAAGATACGTACTTTCCTTTCCACACCCCCAGAGTCATTAGCTCTAAATGATCTACTCCATGTGGGTCATGGGATCTCTCAAATGGACTGGGGTAGTCCACTACCTTGATATGACTTACTGAGGTGAAGCCTTCTAAGTACTCATTTCAGAAGCTTGTAGGATTTTGTAGGATAGAGAAGACGCCCACCCCCAGTTGCTGGCCTATAACAGATATTTTGCATATGTGTACACACACACACACACACACACACTTTGGGAGGATGAGAAGGGGGCAAAGAAAGCAAACTAGCATTCATTTCCACAACCTCCATTGTTTTCTGTCTGTAGTCACATGTTAAAAATCACCCAGTAACAGGGGTGCTTTTATATGGAACGTCAGTTTGCTGGCTTTTCTCGAATCTAGGAGCTACAAGTCTTGGTGGTTTTGTATGATTTGGTTCAGGTTGGTAGGGGTGAGGGGGACACTTCTCTTTTTGTTAGTACTAAGGCCATTCTTAGTATAATCCTCATATTTCCCATCAGAGGCTTTCAAGATAAATGAATGGAATAGTTAATACCCTCACCCCATTATTCCAACCCATACCGTTTTCTTAGAGAGCTAATCATGGCCCCCGGCTGCCTCCATGTGCCTCACTGTCCCCTAGTGAACATCACCCCACCAGTGCCTTCAGCTGTGTACTTCTCTTGACGGGACACGATTCATCCTCCAGATTCCTGCAGCAGACTTTCCTCTAGGAAATTTACCCCCTTGCTGTGGCTTTGTGCACGGCAGAAATGCTGCCGCGCGGGCAGAATGGCTGGCTGTGTGAGCAGAGGCAGTGGCGGCAGCTTGGCACGGTGTCCAGATGCCTCACACAGGCCACAGCCTTACAAGTTAATTACTGGCCCTCACATAGCATGTTGCATCTGAGGTGGCGCTTCGTAAATGTCACCTCATTTGTCTTCCCGATGCCCCTCAGAGGCAGGGAATCCCATAAAATCCACCCAGGAAGAATTGGTGGTTCTTAAGTGGTCATCCCCCCAGGTGGTTCCTGGGCAGCAAGGAGGGAGCCTGTGGAGAGGTTCCACATTTTCCCCTATTCTGTAACTTCAGCTGTTCGGGGCTGGGTCCGTGTTTACCACTGCCATGATTCATTCCACATTTAGGGTTCCCTGTGCAGAGCACTGGGGCAAATGAGCTCGAAGCCACTGGCCACACTGTGAGGGAGCCCCCATGGAGCTGGAGAGCACAGAGAAAGGATACCCAACTAGTGATAGAGAAGGCTTCCGGGAAGAGGTGTGACCAGAACTAACTCAGGACGAGGAGTCGGCCAGGGGAAGAAGTGGGGGAAGGCAGGCTGAGGAAAGAGGCTGAGCCAGGGGAGTGTGGGGCGAGGCTGGGAGCTGGAGAAGGGAGACCTGAGGCTACATGAGGAATCACAGGCTCAGTCACAGAGGCCCCTCTTCATGCATTGTCTGGGGAGTTTCAACTTGATCCTCAAGTTGATGGAGATCTAGTTTCAAGATTTAGGTAGCAAGGCTTCCACCTGTTCCTTCACCGCCTCCTCTCCATCTCCACCTCTCCCCTAAAACACACAAACTCTTTTCCCCCAGTTCAGCTACCTACCAGGAAGGCCTGACACTTTGTCATTTTCCCCCATTACTTTTTGTGGTAAATGCATATTACATAAAATTTACTGTCTAAACCGTTCTTTTAATTAAAAACAAAAATTTTTAATGTTTATTTTATATTTTGAGAGAGAGACAAACAGAGTGCAAGTGGAGGAGGGGCAGAGAGAGGGAGACTCAGAATCCAAAGCAGGCTCCAGGCTTGGAGCTGTCAGCACAGAGCCCAACACAGAGCTCAGACTCATGAACCGTGAGATCATGATGACCTGAGCCAAAGTTGGATGCTTAACTGACTGAGCCACCCAGGAGCCCCTGTCTTAACCATTTTTAAGTGAACAGTCTAGTGGTGGTAAACATGTCCACAACACTGAGCAGCCATCACCACCATCCATCTCCCTAACTCCTTTCATCACGTAAAACCGGATCTCTGTAGCCACACAACACCAACTCCCCATTCCCCCGACCCCTAGTCCCAGATGGGCACCATTATACTGTCTGTCCCCATCATTTTGATACTCCTCATACCTGTAGTTTATTGATATATGCATGAGTGAATGAATAGATGAATTATTTCTCTTTAGACTGACTTGATGTGAATGGCCACACAGCAGATCACTGGGTAGATGGTTTAATGCTTTTCAGAAGCAGGGCAGGAAAAGCCCTTTAATCATGGCAGCATAGAAAGAAGTCTCTACTGTCCCGGGGGACAGCCTGGCCTGCAAAACTTCCCATCTTGACCCCGAGCAGGGTGGGAATCGACAGCCCTGCTTCAGTGTCCCAGCTTTGGCGCACCCCATGAATCACAGACAATTGGTCTTCTTCGATACAGTAGAATGCTGTTAAATGAAACAAGTATAAAACAAAAAATAAAGGTGGTTTTGGAGGATGGTGTTCCAAGGAGCAAGGCAGAAGGCCAAGTTATTGGAACTGCACGTTGTGTATGCTTGTTTATGATTTAGATGCAGGGCTTTGGAGACCCGAGGTGATGTCCAGGAAAGAGCAGAAGAAATGTGTACACTGTGCAGGATGTGGGAGGCAACAATTTGACAACGATTTCCCTGCTTCCACCTCCCAGGCAAAGGCTCCGGGTCTCAGCCAGCTTCCCCGACCCTTCTGAACAGACCTCCAGCTGCTGCACAGTGATTCATCCTGAATGAGCACAGGCCAGGCACTCTCCCTTTCTCAAGGCATTTTTGTTTTGTGTGTCCAGCACTTACTAAACTAACTAGTGGAACTCTCCCACCAGGATTTCCTGGATATTTCAGAAATTATTCAGATTATTTGTACCCATCTAGAGTATATTCTTACATATTTATCTTCTTTTATAGATTTTTAGAGGGCACTGGACCCAGAATGAAACAGATATCCCAAGGAGCTGGTGGGGGTGAAAGGGGGTGGTGGGCAGGACAATCACTTTTTAATGTCAGGGAAATTGGAAATAAACGAGTATACAGGTTATTTCTAAGATGCCTCTCGATGCCGCTCACCAAAACAGCAGATTCTTTTCTTATTCTTTCAAACTACTGAGCACCCATACATATATCTAGAAGGTCCCCAGCAACCCAAAGCAAGCCCAAGTTTTTCTTGTCAGTGTCCCATATTTTGAATATGAATAATGCCCATCAAATGGCTTTATATCTAGTGCCCTGCTCAACTTCTGCCAGAAATAAAGTCTGAAGAGGTGGGGCTCTATTTGAAAATTGTTAGATAGTCCCAGACTATCCAGAAAAAAAAAATGGTCCTGGCAACCTGAGGCTCTTTATATCAAAAAGGCAGGCATCTTATTCTTTAAGGAATTTCCACCTGTTTTCATTTTGACAGGAGGCTCTGTGGTTCAGGCTGTTTGATGATGGTAGGGGGCCCATCTCGTGTCTAGTCAGATGAGGCTTTGACCTTGTGGGGAATCCCAGCACCCCTCCCCACCTCACTCTTACAACCTGCTCCCATCTAAAATCCCACCTCTACAGTATCAGCCCTAAGTTTAAGGCTTTGCTCCCACGGCTGTGGGATGTGGAGGCCTCCCAACAAGGGGGAAAGAGCACAGCTTAAAGAGATAGAGGTGCCAAAGAAAGACCCTGCCAACTCCATAATTTCTCCTAGGGCCGGTCCTATTAGGGTAACAGAAAAACAAACGTTCGGGTCTGAAGGATCCTAGGGACTAGGTCATTAACACCCCCCCCATTTACATAAAGGGAAACTGAGGCCCATAGTGAAGTGGCACATTGGCCAAGGACACTCAGCTAGCTGGGCAGCCTACAGTGCGTCTGCGGCCGGATTTCCTGATGTCTGGACACAAGGCCGCCCTTTGGAGACAACAGGCAGAATTAGCAGCAATGTTTAGGGGCCGAATCACTTTGAAATGCGAAAACGGAAATGGCTGGAAAAATAGAGAAAAATTTCAAAATGGCTTTCTGACTCTGGGTAAACAGTAACCACATTTTTTTGCCTGTTGGAGGCCTGGTTTTTAATCACTCCACAAGCAGTTTTCATTTCTGTAGTAAAATTGCTTGTGGTTCTATTTAATTTGTTTCTGCAGGAGCCAGCTTTGGTGAAGATCTCCGAGGAGCTGGCGGGCATTTTAGCACAGCACGCACAGCCAGTCAATGAGAAACGGTTCCCGACGTGGAGGAAATTCCTCCAAACATTTCTCAGTCAAGGTAAATAAGACTGTAAAGTTTCTATTGAGGACTGGTCTACACAACCTTGAATTCTAGTTTTGGGTCAACCTCACACCAATTTAAATACCTCGCATCTCTTGTACCGGTTTAGGTTAAGTGCTCCTACAAGCAGACTTTTTTTTTTTTCTTATAAACTTTGCCTAAATATTTTTTTTTTCAACGTTTATTTATTTTTGGGACAGAGAGAGACAGAGCATGAACGGGGGAGGGGCAGAGAGAGAGGGAGACACAGAATCGGAAACAGGCTCCAGGCTCTGAGCCATCAGCCCAGAGCCCGACGCGGGGCTCGAACTCACGGACCGCGAGATCGTGACCTGGCTGAGGTCGGACGCTTAACCGACTGCGCCACCCAGGCGCCCCACTTTGCCTAAATATTTATTGTGTACTCAGCCTCTTACATAAATAGGAGCTGAGCACACCAAGTGTGGCAGGCGTAGCTCAAGATTCGGCCCTGTTTTTGCACCTCAGACTTCCCCTGACAGGTGGGCTTTGGAGTTGGATGACCTGCTTATGGATCTCATCCATGACCTTGAGCAAGGTTCTAAAACCCCTGGAGGCTCAGTTTTCTCCCCTACCTACCTCATGGGGTTGCTTGGAGGGTTCAATGGAATACAGATGTGAACATCTTTACCGTGCAGCCTGTCTCAAGATGGGACTTTAAGTGTTAGTTTCCCCTTCCTTTTTGTGGGAGGGAAGAAATGGTCCCCCCCTGCAGTTCTGAAGGCACTATTTCTAAATAAGTATCTTCCAGTGTCCTTTCCTCCTCCTCCTAATTCATCCTTATTCTCTAAGGACACCAGGAAGTCTGTGGATAGGGGGATGAATGGACTGAATGATGCTTGTCCACAGTTGCAGAGGTCCCTATGGGAGTGGCCACACGCCCATGTAATGCCCCCCACTCTTAACAGATTACAGTGTAAGGCAGACATTCTTACCTGCTTACCCACATGAATGATGCAAGAAGGCTAGGATAACAGGCCACAGAAGATATATTTAACACTCTAATCTCTACTGTCAGGTGATAACAAAACTTTTTATATTAACATTAATATATAATAATATAATAATGTGAGGTCGGATAGCAGCAGCACCAGCACAACGGTGATATTGCACAGCAGAAATAAGATAACGAGGGCCAGAGAGTGCTTATTATGTGCCAGATGCTATTCTAGTCATATGCATATTAAATCCCCCTAACAATCCTACGAGGTGGGTACATTATCACGCTTGTTTTCTAGAAGGGGAAACTGAGGTACAAAAGATTAGTAAGTAACTTGCTCTAAATCACTCTGTGAATACATGGCAGAGCCAGTAAGCGGCTACCACTGTGTTCTTCCAGGTGTCTTGGCGGGATCCAGCGGGTACATTTATCAAGGAACACATTCTAGCTCAGTGAATGAGAGAGCACCAGAAAAGATAGACGTGTAGCCTGTTGGAATACATTGGGCAGGCAGTGTGGACTGGGAGGGAGTAGTGAGCACTCTGTTCATGAATTATTTAAGCAAGGGGTCGGATGGTCAGCCGTCTGACAAGCATGCTGAAAAGGGGGTTCTTCACGGGTGCGGGGAGAGGGGAGATGACACACGCTCTCCAGTGTCCTCTCAGATCTAAACTTCTGTGATTCTACCAATTTCCACATGCACCCACCGAAAGAAGAGTAAAAAGGAAAGAGTTAACCCCATATGCATAAATGGGAAAGAACAAGGTCCCTACAACAAAAATAGACAAGAATAAGGGGTTCTTTTTAAGTTAGGAGGGGAGGACCATGAGGATCTCCAGGTCCATCCAGGACAGGACTTAGGAAGTTTCCAAATCTTCCAAGGTCAGCCTGCAAGCCCTCCTCTGATCTATCTCTTTTCATGGGAGCTTTGTAGCTTAGAAAGGGTTTTCCCAGCCACTGCCTCACCTGAGCTGTATAACCACAAGCTCAGGCTGTCCTCAACTTCCTATTCATCTCCATCCTTTCTTCCAGCAATGTTGTAAACACAGTGCCCATTTATGGGAAGCAGAACAAACTTTATTAAGCTAATTTTATAGATGAGAAACAGCCTCAAAGCTAGGAAGTCACACAGCAAATATGTGGTGAGTGGGAAACACAGGTAGAGCCTGTGTAATTGTAAAATTGTAAAATTGTAATTTTAGCACGTCTCAAAAATCCAGTTCTAGTATGCCATGTGTTTCCAAATCTCTAACTGGCTCTGAACCCAGTGCATACAGCAGGCCTGCATAAATGTTTACTGACCAAAGTGGGCCGTCCCCCGCACCCCCCAGGCTTCTTGATTCTAAGGCCACATCTCTTACCACCTTCCATTATTGCCTGTTTCATTTCATTTCTGCTCTCTCAAGTGTGCTTCTGGTCACAAAATGTGCCACAGATTCAACGTCTACATTGTCACAGGATTATCATCAAAGGCAATATATTTTTTAAAAAGAGGAATTAAGTGCTCGCTTCGGCAGCACATATACTAAAATTGGAACGATACAGAGAAGATTAGCATGGCCCCTGCGCAAGGATGACACGCAAATTCGTGAAGCGTTCCATATTATAAAAAAAAAAAAAAAGAGGAATTAATTGCTTTGAAAGGAAAACAGTTAACAGTGAAAAGACTCTGGTCATAATGCTGAGAAGAAGGTACAAATGAGCTTCTTTGGAGTAAAAAAACTAAAGTAATCTTGTAAGTATAAAGGATAATGTGTTTCCACTGAAGCACTTGCTTTCAAAATATAGGTGACAGATAAAGCCACAAAGTTAACTCAATCAGAGAGACTCAGTCAGTGTTTTTGTTTGTTTTTGTGGATTTTGTTGTTCTTTTGTTGCACTTACCTTGCTAATTCCCCCAACAACTCGTATTTAGGTACAGCACACACTAGTAGGTCCCATTTAGAGAAAAGCACATCTCATACTAACTAAATAGATAAATGTTTTCCTTCCAAAACTCAGCTTTCTTTAGGGCCAGCTCCAAACAAACTTACAGACATTTAAGGAAAGTGCCTTTTATATAAAGTAACAGACGTCTGCATTTGAGAAATGCTAAAATCTTAGGATTTAACCACATATGCTGTTCAAAGCCTGCGGGCAGAGGTCACCTCCTAGCAAACTTGTGAAATACACACCAAGTTTATCTTAATACTGTTGGGATCCAGAGGCTGCCCTGTCTAGAGAACGCTTAGTTGTTTTTACTTTTAAATTATGCTATCTTAAAAAAGGGGGGAGGGGGTGCCTGGTTGGCTCAGTTGGTTAAGCGTCTGACTTCCTTCAGCTCAGGTCATGATCTCACAGCTAGTGGGTTTGAGCCCCGCATTGGGCTCTGTGCTGACAGCTCAGAACCTGGAGCCTGCTTCAGATTCTGGGTCTCCCTCTCTCTATGTCCCTTCCCCACTCACACTCTCTCACTCTCTTTCTCTCTCTCAAAAATAAACATTTAAAAAATGTTAAATTATGCTATCTTATTCTTTATAAATAATACCAATTTTTTTCTGTGAAAGATATATGTATGTATGTATGTATGTATGTAAGACTTATGTTAGGCCTAAAAACAAAATATCAGGGCCATGTAAGTTTTGTGGATGCCGCTAAACTAACTCACAAACTTAGCCAGGGCTCATATTGTTGCTGTGGCTGAGCATCAGGTTTCTCTCTGTGGTTTCTGTTATTCAGAGCAAAAGGTAAAGCATGATAAATTATAAAGCTGTCATTATTAGTAAGGATCCTTCCTCAAGAAAGGCAGCATCTCCTGACTCTATCTTTAAAAAAAAAAATACTTGGGGCACCTGGGTGGCTCAGTCAATTAAGCGTCCAACTTCGGCTCAGGTCATGATCTCATGGTTCATGAGTTCAAGCCCTGCATCGGGCTCTGTGCTGACGGCTTGCTTCGGATTCTGTGTCTCCATCTCTCTCTGCCTGTCGCCTGCTCATGCTCTGTCTCTTTCTCATTCTCTCAAAAATAATGTTGTTTTTAAAAAATGCTTTATAATTGGCTTTGCATAGGAATCCTTTGACATAATAGTCAGTGTTCTCTCATTCCTGATAAAAATCCTAATGCATCAAAACTTCAAAAAGCAGCGACGTTGAAACAGAGAAAGCACTTGTCATCAAGGTATAAACTGCAGACTATGGGCAGTTAATTCCCCCTGAGGTATTTGCCTATAGTTGTTAGGTTACCAATAGGCAAAGCCTTGATGATCTTATGGTGTCTTTACGGTGAATGAAAACTAACATTCATTGAGTCCTAGTATATGCCAAGGACTGGGCTAAATACTATAGATACAGTATCTCTAAGATTCACAACAATCTGGTGAGGTAGGTTATATTAAGCCCATTTTGTAGATGAGGAAAAGGAAGTTCAGAGAATTGAAACTTCTTGCCCAAAGTTCACAAGACATGGCAGATGCAGGATCTGAGCCCCAGTCCATCTGCCAAAGCCTGGGCTTTTTCCTCCTGTGCTAAGTGGACACAATCCACATGAGAACGTCTTTTCAACTACTCCATGTTTTTCCCACCAGGAGGCGTGGTGGAAGCGTATCCACCTGCAGAAAGTGTCACCAACCTGACAGTCGATATGCTGATAGAGCCCAATGGAGAAATCAGAGTGTTGTCAACGGGGGACCAGATTCATGCAGAAGGCCCCTTCATCAATTCTGGTACCACCATGCCTCAGACCTCGGTGGATCCCCAAGTTCTCAGTTCTTTGTGCCTCAAAATCGGAAACGCTTGTAAAATGAGAGATGTGGTTGGTTACTTTTCTATAGACCTGGTGACATTTATCGATGCAAGCACCATGGAACAGCAGGTAAGTTGATGCCACGTGAAATACTAAAATACGTAAACACTCCATACCATCTGTGCCTAAGCAACAGCAACAGGGAATATTGGGGAGTTTCTCAGATTCAGTGCCCCTTGCGTGAGCTGACCCTGTAAATTCAGCATTTATGGGGCCTATGCCTAAGGTCTTCTTGTTCAGGTACAGCTGGAGTTTCAATGACTGCATCTCATCCCCCCTAGCTCTGTCGATGGGGCCTCAATTCTGCCCAATAGTGTCTTATCATGAGTCTATCTTATGCCATCCAGGGACTGAACTTGTCTAAGACTTGTGCTTAAATAGAACGTCAATACCTAGAAAGGAGTTCGGAGTCCTTGTTTCCATTCCTCTCCTTATCAGTAGTTCACCAGCAACTCAGGTTGTCAATTTTTTCTTCTAAAAAAATGTACTGGGCCATATGTCATCAATATACAAAGGTCTTAATGATAACATGATGAACATCACATGCCCCCACTCAGCTTAAGAAATAAAGTGGTACCAGTCCCATCTCCAGTCCTGGCATTCCTTGCCAACCCTCCTGACATGGCCCCTTGTCTTCCCAGAGGCTTACATTTGGGGCTCTGAGGCCTTTCTGTATCTTAACGCTCTGACAGCACATGGAGGAACCCATAAATTACTGTTTCATTTTGCATGTTTTTAAGCTTTCTATAGACTATGACACACTGTATAGTGTTATTATTATTCTATGACATGGTTTTATACATTCAATGTTTCATCTGTAACATTCTTCATATGCACGGGTGTGGCTCTGATGTAGAACAGTCTAATAACTTTAGCCTTTTTTGCTTTCTTCTCACCCTCCCCCAATTACAATGTTTATTTCCACTACTACTTCACAAGACTCATTTTGAAAAATGTTTAGTTCCTCCTCTGTGAGTGCTGGGTGACCAGACCTCTGTCTGCAGGGTGACATGGCCTCTGCCCTCCCTCTCTTGATATCCTCTGGCCATTCAACATTGTAAACGTACTTTAGTTGTTTTATAGGCATTATTCTCGGTTTTATGATTCTCCGTTTCAGTCAGATGATGGTTTCAAAGTGAAAGTTTATGTTTTGGGCAGCTTTCAGCTTGCTCAATAATCATTTTCCATTTGCCTTCCTGGGCCCTCCATCGGTTTCGCTTTCCTTTCTCAGGCTCGCACATTGAGGGAGAAAAGGACAAACTGAAGGGCATCTATGAACCTACCTGGGGTGGATGGAGGACAGAAGCAATGCCCTCTGGTGAAAGAGCAGTGTGGCAGGGAAGCAGGGGACACTTCCCTCCCCAAATATTTGTCATGAGAAAGAAGGACTAAATCTGTGATCCCTCGGGGCGGTAGGAGGATGGAACTATGGGAACTGTTGACTTGTGATTTCTACTCATTCAAGTTTGGTATGGGGAAAATTGCATGACAGTGAAAGGGATCTTCAAACACAGAGCTGGTCCTGTCCCTGGGCTTACTATCCTTCTAGGCTTTGGGGATTATGGTCCCACCCTTCACTTGGCTGGTCCCATGTGTCCTGCCAGCCTTTTCTCGCCTAACTCCCTCTTTTTTCTCTCTTCTAACCACACTGGCCTCTCTCAGTCCCCCTTATTCATCATACTACCTCCTGCCACAGGGCCTTTACATGTGCTGCCCCTCTGCCTGAAATGCTCTTACCTCTTCTTTTTCACCTTGTTAATCCCCCCTCCCATCCGTAATATTTCAGCTGAAGCCACACTTTCTTAGGGAAGCCTTCCCTGACCTCCCTGACAAAGTCAAATTCCCCTGTTTTGAGTTCTCACATCACCAAGTACCTCTCCTTCCCATCACTTTGCCTTAGTGACAGTTTTAAACTTATTTATATGATTATCTGATTACAGCTGTCTCCCTCTGTAGACTGTAAGCTCCTTGAGGAGAGATATATGATGTCTGTTTTTGCTCCCCACTCAATTCTCAGCACTGTTTCTGCCCTGGCCCAAAGGAAGTGTTGAGTCAGTATGTGTTGAAAGAATGAACGAACAACAGAGGAATTCCAGCAGGACACTAGATGTGCGGCCAAGGTTTTTAGAGAATGAATTCAAGCATCAGTTGATGGACAAGTAAATATTAACCGATGATTCTGTGATTTGATCACATTATGACCCCTCATTGTCTCTTCCTGTTAATACTTGAGTATATGGTCATTTGTGTTATGATTTTCAACAGAACAGCATTAGAGGAAGTGCTCAGTGAGTACACCAAAGGCTGTTTCTACATTGGCAAGGGAAGTATATTAGCTCTGCGCGTGCATGTGTATGTGGGTCAGTATGTAATATAATAGAATAATATAATATACACCAATATATAATGAAATATAAGTACACATATATGATAAAAGTATACATAATATAAACACAGAAATAAATATAATTTTATAAATAAATTTATAAAACTTTTATACATAATATATATAAATAAAAATATTTTGGGGCAAAATCACTGACATACTCTCTAGTCGTTTTGCAAGTAACATCACTCCAGAAAGCATCTTAATTTCTCTCCTGTGGGCATGCTGTGTGGTACCAATGAAAAGACTGACATATTATCAATGCCTCATTTTTGCCAGTCTAACAGGGGGAAAAAATGTTACCTCGTCCCTCAGCATTTCTTGGATTTTTAGTGATGATGCACATTTTTTCATGTTTGTTGGCTCTTTATATATTTTGTCTTACTTGCCTTATCGTATCTTTTACCCACTTAAATTGGACTATAATATGATCATTGATTTGTAGAAGCTCTTTGTACATAAGCAATTCTTACCTCTTGGTTGTTATAGGTTATAAATATGTTCTCATATTTATTGTCATTTGTGGCTTTCCCTTCTTTTTTTCCAGCCTTGTTTTCCACCATAAAATCATTATTTTTTCCTTTGTCATTGATTAGTGATATTTTATAGAAACGTGTTCCAAGAGTTCAGCAATATTTTATACATCATCAAATTTCCACCCACGAAACTCAAAAACCATTGCTAACTTTCTCCTGAGCCCACAATCATGGCGATAGTGGTAATTTTCTATTTCTGTCATGCTTTCTATATTTATTAGTTGGCAATCTACTACAGTAGTTTTTCCTTCTGCATCTTTCATATATATATATATATATATATATATACACTAGTTGGAATTTGTGAGTTTCTGTTTTCTTCAGTCAATTGCATTTTGATGTTTTCCTCATTTTGATGCTCAAATTGTCCCAGATTTTACTCCTGGCAGAACTTCAGAGTGCCTCTTGTGTCCTTTTGGCATGTGCCCATCATTCTTTGAGCACTGTCTAACTTTCTAGCACAAAGGGATACTCTAGGTTCCTCTTACATTTCCCTGTTCCAGACCTAGGATCAACCCAAGAGCCTTGGGTCCTTTTAGTGGAAGACAGTATTAAGATCTGGGCTCTTCATGCTTTCATTGCTACTGCAGTGTCCCATGCTTCTGGTCTCTCTCAGTGGACAGAGCTTGGAAGTATATGTATTATATATGTAACACACACACACACACACGAATGCATCTATAACTATTCCTATATCTATCATTGTATATATTTTATTTAAAAAATATTAATGTTCATTTATTTTAATGTTCACTTATTTTTGAGAGAGAGAGAGAGACAGAGTTTGAGCAGGGGAGGGGCAAAGAGAGAGGGAGACACAGAATCCGAAGCAGGCTCCAGGCTCTGAGCTGTCAGCACAGAGCCTGATATGGGGCTCAAACCCACAAACTGTGAGATCATGATCTGAGCCAAAGTCGGACACTTAACCAACTGAGCCACCCAGGCGCCCCATCAGTGTATATATTTTAAAACCATGTGTTCCTGCTAATCTAACACTTCAGGATTCTTTCTAGACTTCCCCTTTTCCATACTTAAATATAAATACCTTCTCCAACAGTGAGAAACCAGAGTCTCTTTATCCTCAATATATGTACTTATTTGCTCAATCAATTTATTTGTTCAGTGTACCAGCCTCCCAACCAACCCTGCTGTCTTCTTCACCTACCACATCTGTGCCCATTCCTGCCTCTCCTGTACTTGGACACCGAATGTTGTCATTTGTGTTTTATTTGTAATGTTCTTTGTCATCCTCAAGTTTCAAATAGTTGAATATAGCTCTTTTTTTTTTAATTAGTATTTTACTTTGAGCTTATAGCTTTCTTTCTCTTATCCTCGGTTTTCTCAGCTATGAAGTAAGTTAGCTTATCTGACTTCTGAGAAACCTTCCCATGCAAAAATTATGTATTTCAATATTTTCATAGTACTTATTTTTATATTCAAAATTAATATTAAGAAGAGTAATCTGCTTTTTAGAAATATCACAAGGAGATAATCATAAAGGTTTATGTATGCATATGTCAATCAGAACATTATTAAGGATAGTAAAAATTTTCAAATAACCTAAGTTCCAATAATGGAGAATTTGTTAGGCAAATTATGACAGAGCAATAGAATTGAATGGTATGAAAATAGTAAAATGAAACTTCATAGAATAGTTGGAAGGGTAAAATGCAGATTACAAAACAACATATGTAACATGCTAACCATTTTATAAAAAGAAAAAAAACCCATATATATGCAGAGCAAAAAGAACCTAAAAAAATACACTAAGAAGTTTCAAGTCATCATTTCTGGATTGGAGGATTGAGGGTGTGGCAGGCAGAGTAATGGCCCCCAAATGTGTCCTAAGCCTTGAAGTCTGTGAGTGTTCCCATATGCAGCAACACAGCTATTCGATTAATTTAAGGATCTTCAGAAGGCAAGATAAGCCTGGATTATGCAGGTAGCCCATATAATCACAAGGGTTCTGCTGGCTTTGAAAACGGGAAGCGACAGTGAGCCCGGGAATGCAGACAGCCTCTAGAAGACAGAAAAAGCAAGGAAACCGATGCCCCCCCAGTACCCCCGGGAGGAATAAAGTGCTGCTGACACTGATTTTAGCCCAGTGAGACTTGTGACTTCCGACCCATTAAGTGACTAAGTTTATA